CGTTTTTTTTTTTTTTTTTTTTTTTTGGCTTTGGAGTTCTGTTTGTTTTGATTGCTTTTTGGTTTTGGTTTTTTTGAGACAGGGTCTCAGTATGTAGTTAAGACTGACCTGGAACTCACTATTATATAGCCCAGGCTGGTCCTGAACTCACAGCGATCCTCCTGCCTCAGCCCCTCGAGTGCCAGGATTATTGACATGTGCAATCTCACCCTTGGAATATGTTGAGGCGAAAGCAGAAGCCCATGGGAAGCTGTTGGTTGAAATTATATTACCGTGATGAATGTGGTAGGGCATGCCTGTTATCCCCGAGCTCTGGAAGGCTGAGGCAGGAAGACTGCAAGTTCAAGCCTAGCCTGGAACACTTAGCAAATTAGCTTGACCTTGTCTCAAAGGAAAAAGATGCAAAAAGGACCGGGGATGTAAATCGGTGCAAATCAGTGCCCTTGGCTCAATTCCCAGTACCAAAGAGGGGGCGGGGCATCATTAGTGCTAACACATACAAAACTCTGAGTACTGTCCAAGCCTGTGTAAAGTATTGCAGTAAATTATCCCTATCTGTACTTAGCAACATGAGACTTGTAGTAGTATTCTTGATTTATGATGAGGCAATTAAGGCAAATAGCTGGTGGGTGGTAGGGCTGGGACTTGAGCCCAAACAGTCTGGCTCTGAGCCTCCACCACCTTGTGCTATACAATGAGAGAGGATCTCAGATTGGGCCGTGTCCTCCTTAGTAAGGGACCATGACCATCCCAGGCCTGGTGTCCGGCTTCCTCCAGCCAGCAGCTCCCTGACCTCAAAACCCCTGTGCTCACAACAGCACCCATCTGCCGGCCAGCCCACTCTCACACACATAGGAAAGTCTAGCTGGGGAGACAGTTCAGGATCAGAACTTCAGTGGCTGACCCGCTTCACTGCTCGGTGCTAATCTGTTTCCTGCTTTCCAGCCCCAGTGTACCAGGTCAAGCTTACTATCCTGAAGGGTGTGGAGGTGGAGTCTGGGAAGGAAATTGTGCTTCATTGCTCTGTGGCTGAAGGAACTGGCCCAATCACATACAAGTTTTACAAAGACAAGGAGTCCAAGCCCTTCCACCAAGCCATCTCGAATGACACCTCTGTAATTTGGTACAAGGCACAGGCTAGCAAGGAGCAGGAGGGACAGTACTACTGTGTGGCTTCCAACAAAGCGACGGTCACCCAAAGCAGCACCCACAGCAACGCATTGACGGTCAAAGGTGAGTCCAGGCCTCAGCAGCGAGGTGGAGTATGGGCTCTGAGGGGAGGACAGAAAATATACCCCTCAAAAGAGGAACTGGGTGGGAGTTCAGTTCGAGTGACCAAGGGTTAAGATTCACACGTCCTCAGACCCTTTCATGGCAAGTGACAGAAACCCACTCAAATTAGCTTAGTAAAAAGAGAAGTCGTTTATAAGGGGTTGGAAGTGTCTCAAGCAGTCCCAACTCGAAATTCTTGGTAGACGGACACCAGTTGACTCACCTGGGGTCACATCAGCAGCCATGGGGATTGGGTCACATAGATAGGACGTGGTTAGGGGAGCCACCTGTGTGGGACCCCACCTATGGGGGCAAGGGCGGCTTCCTAGGGAAGGAAGAAAGCTGAACAGACACTCCAAACATGGACTCTCCCCAGCAAAGTTGATTTGATCCCTCCCTGAAGACTACATCTCCCCTCGGTTCATAGCAGAAATAACCAATTTTGTACCTGCAATGACTACAGCATCCCTCAGAGGTAGATGCCAAGGTTAGATGCTAGTTACCAGAATTGTAAAACCAGTCTTCATTGTTACTTAAACCTAATATTATTTCGGAGAAATAACGTGGCAGAGAAAGAACCTTTATATTTCATTCTCTCCCCCTTTCCATGTCCAGTCTTTCTTGCCTCATGGAAGAAAGGACTTATCGCAGTTGTCATAATTGGAGTGATAATTGCCACCCTGATAGTTGGAGCCAAATGCTATGTGTTGAGGAAAACTAAAGGTGAGCACGATTTTCTTCCCCCCATTATGACATGGTCTCTGCCTGAGAACGGTCCATGGGTGTGCGGTGCCCCAGGGGGAACTGAGGAGAAGTCACCCATTTTTCTCCTTGAGGTGTCACCTTGGTAACCAACGATTCTGGGCATGCAGCTTCAGCTGCCCCTGGATCGAGACAGGCAAAAATGAAAGTGGCTGCTTTCCTACTTAGGCAACCAACTAGGGGGAGGTGGGAGAAGGTGCATTTTCACGTGGCTGGAAGAAGCCGTTTCAGTGGGTCCCATAACCGGCAGTGAGTGTCATGGACACAGGTGCACTCGCACACACACGCGCACACACATGCACACATGCCCTGAATGCCTCCCAGTCAAGCTGCCAGGGGTGCCATGATTTCTGCCCTATGATCGGGGTTAACCAAACATGGATGGAAGCTAGGGACTCCCGCTGTCCCTCAGGAACAAGATCAGTTAGCCAAGATTCAAGGGAAATGGCATATCACCCGTAAATTCTGAAAAAATAAAAGTGTTGGGGGCTAAGGTGGGTTCTTTGGGAACTCTGGTGCTGCTGCCTTGGATGGCAGGAGGCATATGGGTTTAAGGAGCAGTGTGGCTTAAATCTAGATGTCTCCTTGAAGTCTCATGTGCTCACAGTTGGGGTTCTGGGGAGGTGACAGACTCATGGGAGTCTGATATTGGGCGAGTCCATGGAGGGGTTTATAGATGGATGTGATGCTGGGGAGGTGAAGCGAGGAGGTGGGTCGCTGGGCATGGCTGGAGATGTATATACATCTCCCTCCTCCTGCCTTGAGTGCTCCCTTCTTCCTCCCTGCCACGCTGTATGTAAATTGCCATGCTGCCCTACCTTGAAGTCCGCCCACCGTGGACTGAAACCTCTACGCATCGTGAGCCAAAATAATCCAATCCTCCTAACTTGTGGGTGTTGGGTGTTTTGCCCCAGCCACAAGAAATTAACTAAGATAGAATTTGGTATCAGAGAAGTAGGGTCGTTGCTGTGACGCTACCTGGCCATGAAGTGCGAGAGCCTTTGGAAATGAGGGTGCAAAGAGTTTGGGAAGGTCTGGAGATGCCTTCCGAAGAAGCAGCTCTGGAATGCTGTAAGATGAGCTTCATGGGAGATTCTGGTTGGAGCTCAGAAGATCAGAATGTTCATAGAAATGCTGCTGAAGACCAGGCTCAGGAGGCTTCAGCTGGCAAGAACTGCAAGGACAGTTGGACTCCAGGCCATGTGTGTTGTTTTTTTGTTTGTTTGTTTGTTTTTTGTTTTTGTTTTTTTTTTTGGTATCAGGGATCAAGTCCTTGCACGTGGCCAGGCAGGCGGTGGCACCACTGGGCTAAATCCCCAGCCCTAGACTAATCTAGCAGAAAAAAATTCAAGGCAGTCTAATGTTGAGGTGGTGGCATGGCTACTGTTGGAGGTTTTTAGCTAGCTCTACCTCGTGAATAAAAAACAAACAGCCCAATGGAATGCTTTTTAAAGTGTTGAGTTTGGCCAGAAATGAAGCTCCAGTAAAGATGCAGCCTATAAATATAGAATGAAGAACTCGGTTGCTGAAACAGTTGGCTTTAGAAAGCCAAGTACTTTGGAATAGGACAATAGAAAAGTTGATCTGATGATATCATTGGAACCAGCAGGACCCTACCCTTTGCATCCTCAAAATTACAATGATAAAATACTTTTCTCTGAGAGGAGAGCCCCAGGGTACCATGTTCCAGAATGGCGATGGCCTGGGAGTTTGTTCCTCTGGTTAGGATTCATAGTGGGTAACAGTCCAAGCACTCAACCCCTACAGTCAAAAGAAGGGGGCCAGGGATTTAGCTCAGTGGTGCCGCTGCCTGCCTCTCAAGCACAGGACCTGAATTTGATCCCTGGTACCAAAACAAAACAAAACAAAACAAAAAACAGAGATGGAAACCTGTCTACTGCTCAGCTGGCGGCAGACTTTGGCAACATCCACATGTTGCTGGTTTTAGGCCCATGCAGGATTTCCTAGCTGTGGGCTCAGGAAGACTTCAGAAGAAGGCTCGGGAGGCCAGGCAGTGGGCAGTGTGTGATCTGTGAGCTTGAAGCTGAAAGTGTAGTGGAGACCCCAGAAAGCTGCAGAAGTGACAAATATGGATTATCTGAGGAAAACTTCAAAGAATGAGCGGAGTTGGCCCAAGACAGGCACCTGCCAGCAGTATTGTAGGAGTGAGGCCATCCGAGCCCTTCAAGAGTCCCCATCTTGCCATAGATTGCCCATGCTGGACATGGAACTTCAGGATTTCATGTTTGCCCTGCTGGATTTGGTTTGTTTGTTTTTGGTTTTTTGAGACAGGGTCTCACTATGTAGTTGAGACTGACCTGGAACTCACTGCGTAGCCCAGGCTGGTCTCGAACTCACAGCGATCCTCCTGCCTCACCACACTGGGCTTGTCCTGCTGGGTTTTGGTCTTGCTTTTGTCCCATTCCTTTCTGTCCCCCTATTTCTACCTTTGGGGGGTTTTTTTGTTTGTTTTTTGTTTTTGTTTTTGTTCAGGAGACAGGGTCTCACTGCGTAGTTCAGGTTGGCCTGGAGTTCATTATGTAGCCCAGGCTGGCCCTGAGCTTGGGGCAGTCCTCCTGTCTGAGCCTTCTGAGTGCTGGGATTACAGGCGTGCGCCACCATGCCCAACATCTTTGGAATGAGAATGTTCATCTTGTGCCACTGTATGTTGGAAGTGTTGAAGTTTTTTTTTTCATTTTTACAGGAGCTCCAGCTAAGAGTTTGCCTTAAGTCTCAGCGGAGAATTTGGACTTGGACTTTTCAGCAATGCTGAAACTGATAGGTTTTGGCAACTCTTCCCCACCCCCCAATAAGTTTATTGGCACATTGAAAGCAGACAATCCAGTTACATTTATCATTGGGATCTTGTGCCTTTACACGATAGGTCTTGGTTCTTATTTTTTCCCCATTCCCCAGCCCTCCCTTCACCTCCCCCACCCTTCCCTATTTACAAAGACTTTGTTTCCATTTTTCCCTTCTCCACATTTTTTTCTTTTCCCTTATTTCCTTTCCCCTCCCCTCCCACTTCCCCTTTAGCCATTTTCTTCCAATTTCACACTATCAATTATACCATTTAAACCTTATTTACACTTTTAGCTTTTCACATCAGAGAAACTATTTGGTATTTACTTGTGTGTCTCATTTATTTCACTGAAGCGTATTAGCCTCCATGAGGACTTTGGCAACTCTTTTCGTTTTGTTTTGTTTTTTGTTTTTTTGAGACAGGGTCTCACTGTGTAGTTGAGACTGCCCTGGAACTCACTTTGTAGCCCAGGCTGGTCTCGAACTCACAGCGATCCTCCTGCCTCAGCCTCCCGAGTGCTGGGATTACAGGCATGCGCCACCACACCCAGCCGACTTTGGCAACTCTTACAAGATGGATTAAATGTATTTTGTATAAAGAGATGCACATGAGTCTTTTGGAGGCTGGGGCAAAATGTTATAGCTTATATCTAGCTGTCCCCTCAAAGCCTCATATGCTCATAGGTGAGGTTTTGGGGAGGTGACTGGATCACAGGTGTGTGATGCTGGATTAGTCTACTGATGGGTTTATATCTGAGTGAGATGTTGGGAGGAGATGTTTGGTGGGAGGAGCTGGGTCACTGTGGGCTTGGTCTGAATGTATTTGTATATAACTTCCTGCCTTGAGCATTCCCTGCCTCCTGCTTACCGTGCCATGGACTGTTTCTCCTCTGTGATGCCCCTCTGCATGCTGCCTTGGCTTGGAGCCAGCTGACTATGGAATGAAACTTCTATAAACTGGGAGCCCAAATAAACCTTTCCTCCTTTAATGTGAGGAGTCAGGTATTTTGTGCCAGCAACAAGAAAGTAACTAAGACAAGGAAGGACCCTGGATTTTTTCTGAAGAAAGAAAACTATAACTCCCTGGGAAGAGACAGCTTCCAAGGAAACACCTTCCCAAAGCTGATCTTGAACTTGGTCTTAAGCTACCTTGGAATTAAAAGTTCAAGGATCAGTTTAGCCTTTGACTTTTGGAATTGTACTGAATCAAAAAGATGGCTGCCCCCTTGTGTGACTGATCTGGTTCCTATACCATTATCTTCATCTCCATCGCACTCCGCTAACAAAAATTGCTTCTGTCTGAAAGAATCAAAGTGTTAGATATCTTGGGAAACGGTGTGAAATCTCTGCTTTAGACCAAGAAAAAAACTCCCTCTTCCTTGAAATGAAGTCTCAGTAAGCTGCCCAGCAGGGCCTTGCACTGATGATCTTCCTGCTTCAGCCTCCCAAGTAGCTGGGATCACTACTGAGCTCTGCTCAAGAATACACCTCTATCTTCCTTTCCCTTTCCTACATTCTGTCTTCTTCATGCGTGAGCATATCTATATTTCTTTCCTCTCTTTTTTATGGGCACACAATCTTCGGGAAAGTCAAATGTAATAGAAATGACTCTTTTTCTGGTATGCATATGGATATTTTAATACTGATCTTGGTTTTTCTTTTTCTTTTTTAAAGCCAAGCAGATGCCTGTGGAAATGTCCAGGTCAGTGTCCTTGTAAGAGTGGGCAGCTGTTTTGTGGGCATGGCTGGACTTAGCTGTGTGGAGAGTCTGGTCACTGGGTAGTTTGGGTCTTGGAAAATTAAAATAAGAGTCTTGGGTGTGAGGTGTGTGTGTGTGTGTGTGTGTGTGTGCGTGTGTGTGTGTGTGTGTGTGTTATGTGTATATCTTAGTGAATGATTGCCAACTATCCTTTCTTATAAGGAAATGGCTTTTATGCTGAGATCATATCCTTTCTAGACAAATTTTTGTGATATCCTCTTTTCCTTATGAAATTATAATGGAAGTAGAGGGAAAATGACAATTTAACTTACGGGCAAAATAGATTTGACCTCAATATTTTTGTTTTTACTATTTTTAATGTTCTTAATATTCAAAATCTGAGTACAGAAATAATTGCAGTGTTGTGGAGAGAAACAGCCACACAGGATGAGGATTTAAGGAGAGTGGCCTGGTAAAGAACTCCTGCTGTCTCTGTACTCCTTGGCCCCCACACTGATTTTAACAGCAGAAAGTTTGGTCAAATAATCTTAGAGCTGAAAACATGCTAGTTTCCCAAATGTGCGAGGAAAGCTTTCTTTACTTTGGAAGGCACTTCCTGTTTTCTTGTGATTTTCCTTTAATGATTTTGTTGGTTTGGGGTTAGAGTGGAAAAAGTGTTTAATATATATATTTCCTTTGTAACTTTTATTTTAAGGCCAGCAGCACCACTTCTGAAATCCAACAATGAAAAGCTGTCAGAGCCTAATATTGAAGCCAACAGCCATTATGGTAAAGTCCTAGTTTCCTTCAGTTGCTAAGAGTTGACTATCTGTAAGTGGGTGGGGTTAAAACTAGAAGGGAGACCCTGGGCTTCAAGCAGGGACACTTACCTAATCACCTATTGGATGGTGACCTAACAACAACAAACAAAACAAAAAGTACCTGAAAGATAAGAGCATTTTATTCTGTTTTCACCACCTTCTAAATGTCCTGTGAAATTAAAAATGGAGAATCATCCTAACCTTCAAAAATTGAATTTGGGCATGGTGGCCCATGCCTATAATCCCAGCACTCATGAGGCTGAGGCAGGAGGATCACCGAGAGTTCAAGGCCAGCCTGGGCTACATAGTTCAGAGCCAGACTGAACTACAAAGAGAGACTCTGCCTCAAAATACTTAAAAAAAAAAAAAAAAAAACACCCAGAATACCAAAAACCTGAATTTTGCCCAAAGATAAGGCCAGGTAGTGAATTAAAGCTCTGGTAAAACATCTTCTCAGGTGGAATTATTATAAGCATAACACAGTGTTACTTTCCTTTGGCATAAAGGGAAACCAAATTAAAGATTTGCTCTTAGTGGAAGCATTAAAAAAAAAAGTCCAAAGGGCTGGGGATTTAGCTCAGTGGTGCCACGCCTGCCTCACAAGTATAAGGTCCTGAGTTCGATCTCTGGTACCAAAAAAATAAAGAATCCGAAGTTAAGCAAAAGAGCTACATACAAACTTTCAAAACAAGCCCAGTGAAGGAATACTTGTTATGAGACTCACCCCAATCTTGCCGGCCCACTCAGTGGGGTAGCCAGTCCCAGCAGTTCTTAATCTTATTTGGTCTGTCTGAAATTTGCTCAAGCATTTTAGCAAGGATGCTAGCTATTCCCAAAAGGGGCTCTCATTACATCATGCAAAAAGTTCTGCCCCAGACCACATTTGAAGAATTTTCTTTCTTTCTTTCTTTTTTGGTACCAGGGTTCGAACGAACTCGGGACCTCATGCTTGCGAGGCAGGTGGTGGCACCACTGAGCTAAATCCCTGGCCCGAGAATTTTCTTTCTTTACCAGCAGGTTTTTGAATAATATGCCCATGGTCTTCTCTAATTATGTAATAATATCTCAGAAAATAAGTCTTTGTTTTGCTTTCTGTTTATTTGTTAGTGGTACTGGAGATTAGACTCAGCCTTCACACTGAGCTGTATCCTTAATTCTTTTTTTTCTGGAGACAGGGTCTTGCTAAGTTGCCCAGGCTGGGCTCAAACTTGTGACCCTCCTGCCTCATCCTCCCAGAGTGCTAAAATTACACGCATGGTAATACCTGGCTGATTTTTTTTTTTTTT